CCAGAGGCGTGGGGGCTGCCCGAAGCTGGTAGCGCTCGGCTCTTACAGAGCTCAGGAGTCAGGGAGCACAGCAGCCCCCGGCGCCCGCTCTAAGGTAAGCCAGGGAGTATTTTTCCCGGACATGTTCGGCTTTTTGGAAATTCCCCCCGGACGGGGGTTTGATTACCAAAAAGCCAGACATGTCCGGAAAAAAATGGACGTATGGTAACCCTACATAACACAGACCAGAGAACTTCCCTAAAATAATTCCTAGAGCAGATCTTTTACAGTTAGCCATATTCAAATGCATATTGTGTGCTTGTGCCCCACTTGCCAAGCAATCCAGATTGCTCAGTACCAGTGACCAGTCTTCTTCATTACTTACCCCTCCCCGCGATGTTTGTGTCGTCTGCAAACTTTGTCAGTGATGATTTTCTGTTTGCTTCCAGGTCATTAACAGAAATGTTGCCTAGCGCAGGGCCAAGAACCCTTTTGCCTCATGCACCGATCCAGGTGTGGTACATGAGGCAAAAGACACTTTCCCCTCTGCCTCCTCATCAGTCTATGCTTCAAGTACACCCCTACCCGGATATAACACGGTCCTCGGGAGCCAAAAAATCTCACCGCCTTATAGGTGAGACCGCGTTATATCTGGTTTGGGCCGGTATGGTGTACTGGCAAGAGCCGGTATGTCGTGCCAGACTGGACTGGCTTCCCCGGCGGTGATTTAAAGGGCCCGGTGCTCCAGCCACTGCAGGGACCCCCGGGCCCTTTAAATCACCGCCGGAGCTCCGGCAGCGGGGCTTGGGCGGGGATTTAAAGGGCCCGGGGCTCCACACGAATTCAGATATAACGCGGTAAAGCAGCGAGGCTCAGGTGGCGTTTTAAAGGGCCCAGGGCTCCCCACTGCTTTATATCAGGTCGTGTTATATCGGGGTAGAGGTGTACGCACCACAGCAGGTCACTTCTTGAGAGCCTGGGAGCAAAAGAGTTAATTCCTCCATAATGGTGGCAACTGCTCCTCCTGGCATTTTTGTTAGACCAGTGGTTTCCAACCTGTGACCTACGGACCCCTGGGGGTCCGCAGACTATGTCTAAGATTCCCAAAGGGACTTCCATTCAACATTTTTCCAGGGTCCACCAATGAAAAAAGGTTGAAAACCACTCTGTTAGGTCTGCTTTAATATATATCACGGGTAAAGAGCTCCTTTGACTAGAGTGACCAGATGTCCCGATTTTATAGGGACAGTCCCGATATTTGGGGCTTTTTCTTATGTATTACCTCCTATTACCCCCCACCCCGTCCCGATTTTTCACACTTGATATCTGGTCAACCTACCTCTGGCAGAAGCAGTGGGCATGAAAGCAATGATAGTCGTTAGTTCCATGAACGAATATATTCCTTATATAAACAATAGCACAACTGGCCAATAAAAGCATCACACCTCTCCCCAGAGCTATTGCAGCATCGTATTCCCCCAGCGTATGACACAGAACGAGATGCCAGGGTTACAGCCATAGCTGTGTAGCACAAGGGGACCCTGATCTTTACTGGGGTGTCTGGCCGGTACTGCAGTATAAACGATAAATTACCTACCAAAAAAAAGGTGTTAAAAGAATGTTAAGGTGCAAAGTCAAGCACCCCAAAGTTGCCTGTGCAACCTTAATTTTGACCCCTGGTGTGTCTGCATTATGATACAGTTTTTAACTACGTGCTCATGCTCACATACTATTATTCCACATCTACCAGCTCCACCTGTAGTAATAATAATATTTAATCAGTCACACCAACATGCCGGAGCCACGCCCAAGCCAGGTGCAAATACCTCATCATTCCTCCTGGATGACCCCAACCACTTCACATTCACAGCAACTGTACCGTTAGCACCAACAAAGTACCCTTCTGTGACGCAGACGTGCCCAAAACATGCCTAGGTGGGTATAAAATTTTTTATTAAGATGATGTTAAAAAAAAAGTGAACGGTACAGAGTTTAAGCATAGAAGCTTCTGGTTATCAGGGAATAACGTACAGATTATCGAGGGTGCAAAGTTTGGTTTAAGATCGGGTGGCATAAGAAATACATAATATGCAATATCCCTGATTGTGGGTAACACCTGCGTCCGGATGTCTTCTTGATATTACACGGAAAGGGATTGTGTGGTGTCTCTGCTGAGAGCTAAAAACTAGCTGATTGTCATGGGTGTTGCGAGATGTTTTATGGGAAAGAGCAGATAACGTATGTTAAACAATAGAATGTTAGGTTGCAAAACTGTTGCCCTCGGACTTCTTGTCACCTGAAGTGAGGGGCGGTCTCAGGACTACTTCAATCAGTGTTGGGAACAATGGACATCATGGAGACAGCCCCTTGTTTACTGTCTGGGCTGGGTGGAGACTTGAACATCCACAAAGACAAAGGAAGCCTGGGAGGGTGCTCTGAAGAGGGCCCAACTTCTGATACATTACAGGAGGACATCCTTTGCCAGCGGGGATGTCTTATGAAAAGCAGATCCCCGCTCATTGGACTGGATTAGTGCGGCAAGCAATAATGAGG